CTCTGGCACAGGATCGCGAACGTTGGAAGCACTGTCTGACGCGTCTGCCTCCGCGACCCGAAAGGAGAAGGCCCGATGGAAGATGAAGATGGAGATGAAGTTTTTCCGTACTGTAACTTGTTCCTTATTTACTTAAGGTCATTCTCAATCTGCACACCATTATTTGTGTGATGCGTTATGCGGGAGAACCCATTCCGAAGAAGGCCAGATAAAATCTCATTAATATAGATCTCAGGTGTTCTACAAAATGGAAAATCTCCAGAAACATGATAGGCACGTGAATTACAGAAATATAATTTGCCACGGCCAAGTCCAGAAACTGGCACAGTCTGAATAACAATTTTTTGTTTTTTTCGCCTCTGAGTAAAACAAGACAGGACAAGAACATGTGCAAGCTTTGGCTACAATAAACACCTTGCGAAAAGCGTATATTAATTTTTGTCTCACTGTTCGTTTTCAATGTAATATTAGTCATATTTTTGAATAAAGCCGTATTATCTCAAAAGAAGTACATACCGACACGTAGCCAGATTTCATTTGTAGCCTCAACCAATGAATGATCATCATGAAATTTATTCATTTGCAGCGGCCTAAGAGCATGCGGTTTGGAAAACACCTGAATCAGCCTACTTTAATCTCAATAATCGATGGATTGTTAAATGGATTGATGGATGGGCGGGCCGGTTGAAGAGTTAATATTTGAATGCAAAGCCTAATGAATGAATGATTGAATGAGCGAGCGCACGTTGTGTTGAATTAACGAATGAGTGAATGAATTATTGAAAGGAAACAAGGGTGTCTGTAACTGTCGGTCTTCTTACACTTACATGATGAGGTAAGTTCCAGCATCTTTATTTTCATGAAGTTAGTGGTTTGGAGAAAATCAAGAGAGTACTCCATCAGCAGGGAGTATCTCATACTTAAAGATAAAGCCAATAGCAACTATGGCACGAGCAGAGACTACATTTTCCCGTTTCTATATTATATATTCGATGGAATGTCTGATTGTGAGTCAAAGGTCCAGGATTTGAGCCTCTGGTCGAAGTACCTTGATCTTCTTGTTTCCGAGGATGATATGTGAGTGGAATAGAAACGCACATAATATATACATATGTATATATATGTATGAGAATAAAAGATCACCGCAACGGAATTATCAATACAGACAAGCGGTTAGTCTGGGAATGGTGTTAACATAGTTTTGTTCATGACACGAGTCGATTTTGAGGCTCGGCTTGCAAATTAGAGGACAAGCGATGTCTCAGACCTTGACTAGCGTGTAAAGGTTTAAGAGATCTGCAGGAACACTGTTGACCTGTTTGAAAAAGAGGCTGAATTTGACCGCTTGAATTGCGCTCCCATGCACAAGTTGAACTGAAAAAGTTTGCCTGATAAATTTGAATCAGTAAATTGTCATTTTGTCAAAATGAGGCTTCATTAATAGTATGCTGCACTCCGATACTCTATTATGAGAAGGGATTATTTTGTCTGGCATTTTGAATGATCCCATTGCCGCCCTACGCACAAACGTCGTACCTTGTTTTACCGGTTAATTACCATGAGACGATACCTTGCTGTTCAGAAAGCTGTCATGCAGAAATAATACTGTGAGAGCGAAATCGTGGGAAATTCTGAAACACGACTCGCACCTGAACATCGAACGCTTTGTGAGATCAGTGTGCGCTTCAGGCAAAACATTAACCAGCATTAAAGAAAAGAACAGTCCAAATATTTGTGGAACGCGGATGCAATAACTCTGAACTGCGTTTGAGATCATTACCGTAAATAATGGCTGCAACTGTAGTGGAGAAACGTGCGTATCACCGCAAAATAGTACATATTTTTGGAAAACAGTTACTGAGGTCGAAAACCTTATAAAGTAAGTTGAAGAAACCGTTGGAAATGGACCGTCTGCAGATGACCAATATGTGCTCTTTGCAAACTCGACTCATGTAAAACACTGTTTTTCTTTTTGCTCACCATCCTCATTAATGAAGGTTCATGATTTGATTTGTGTGAAACACCGGCGTTCCCACAGTCGAACGCGTAAAAAGACATTTCGTCGAGCAGATTCACGTACTTCCTTGTTAAACCAATATAGTAATAGAACCCTTACTTGGTTTTACCTGGGACACCAGAGACAAGAAGGATTCGAACAAAAGAAGCAACCATATTCTAAGAACTGTATGCGTGCGTTTTGAATCCATTTTTATATTTTCATAATGCCTAGACGTGGCAAACAACGGAGAGCGGGGGAAAGGGGAGATGGGGGGGGGGCACGGCTGAACTTTAACCTTATTTTAAACATCACTGGCTGCTGCGACCGTACGTGCAGCGCGCGGGAGGGATGCCGTCCGGAACGAAAGGCAACAGTGTTCGGCCGGGTCTGCGCATGTGTCACCTACTGACGTCTGCACGTCATCAAGCGCGAATCAGAGAGGGGGCAGATAACGGTGTTCAGCACCGCTTAATAAGTTTATACGTAAAGTGAAGTTCGATGCATCATTCAGCAGGTAAATACCGGCTGGATGATTCAGCCTTATCGTAGCCGATGCCGATTTGTCAAGATCACAGGCCGAGCCGGTGCGGTGATTTGTGTTGATGTTGTCGAAGAGGCAGTCGAGTTCAACCGACGCCCGATTGCCTTGTTTTGTACGTGTGTGATGTGTTGTACCCAATGCACTTGCCTCAGCAGCACCTTCAACTGGATCCTGGTCGCATGGCTGGCACACGCCATGGCCAGGGAATGCAATCCGTCCGTGCGAAGTCTGTCAAAGAAGGTGTCGTCGTCGCCGGTTGTCGTCGTCGCCCGTCTGACCGGCATTCAGCCGAGGTACCACGTTCAAACGCCGATGCAGCTGGCCACGTTTCTAGTGGACAAGTGCTACAAGGGCTGTGACGAGCTCGGCGAGGGGCTGTCCGTCAGCCTCGGCCTTTTCAAGGGCCACGAGCAGCTGTCCGAACGGACGTGGTGTCTGTCGGCCCTGTTCCTCGACCACCACTCAAAATACATGCTCTTTCTTGATCCGTTCGGCGTCGACACTCGACGTTTCACGGCACGTTACAAGGCTGAGAAATGGTCGACCTTGGTGCAGAAAAAAATCACCAGAATTATGAAGAGAAGTAAGTACTACGATGGCCGCTGCCCCCCTGTCACAGCTGCCTGATTCGTCGAGTTATCTGACCACCTTCCTCCCCCCACACACACACACGCCTCCTGATTGCACGACCCCAATGCTGTGCTATCCCTCTTAATTGCACGACCTGATATAATAGGTATTTCGACATATGAAAATGAATAATGACTGTTTGACGCATGATATGATTTATAAGCAGCTTTTGCGTGCTATCTCTCTCAGTACTATTCCAGTGCATTCAGTCCCCATGCGTTCTGCAGAAACTGTCCCATTACCGTGGCAATCTCTTCTCAGATTTCTCTTCACAGTTAACTTTGCTCATGAACGTCACAAGCAATGCTGAGATCTTGCAGTCTCCTATATTTTCAGTGGTAGATGAAAACGGCACTATGGACAACGGCCTCTCGAGAAGTGCTCACCTCACCTAGCCTTAAAAGACCTCCAAGGCCTAGGGACTTTGTGGCATATTTTATGGCAACACAGACGTATGATTTATTTCTTATATTCCACTCTGAACTTTGCTAAAATCAGTCAGTGAAGCTGCTCATGGGCGTCTGCTCATATAGATGTGATAAG